CACAGACACAGGCTCACACACACACACACACACACACACACACACACACACACACACACACACACACACACACACACACACACACACACACACACACACACACACACACACACAAGCCTTGAATCTTGTTACCTGTCCAGGCTGTTGTTGTTGTGCTCCGGGCTCTGATAGGCTCCTCTCCAGCTCTCTCTACCCGACTCCCCCTCACTGTTTTGGGGGAAGAGCTCCTCCAGACTCAGCCTCTCTCCTCCGCTCTCCTCCTCCAACGTGTCGATGTCCGTCTCCAGCACCGTCACCGGCAGAGCGAAGCACGGCAGCTCGCTGGTGATTGGCTCGTCCTCGGCCAGAAGCACGTCCTCCTCCTGGAAGTCGTCGATGTCCGTCTCCATGGGGATGTCCAGCTCTGCGTCCAGGCTGTGGGCGGGACTTGGGCTCAGGGTGGTTTCTGATTCGTTCCCTGGTTCGAGAGAGATCTTCTGGGGCTCGATGCTGTGGAAGAGGTAGGATTCAGGAGGGGAAACCACGCCGACGTTATCCATCAAAGGTGGAAGGGTTGAGTCGCTATGAACTCTGGGAGATGGAGTTCTCTCCCACTCTGCTCCAGGTCTGATGTTTGAGTGGTTTTTGAGAGGCTTCACTGTTACTCTGTCCTCCTCAGGGCTGATGATCATCTCAGATACCCTGCAGGGACACAGATAGACTTTATTAACACACTTATTGAAACCTGGATACATAATAATAATTAAAAAGATAGGTATTTAATTTACTTTTAAAAATTCCAATTGAGGTTGCTGTTCTAAGATCAAATGGGAGGCTGTTCACTTGGACATTAATAGTGACTTTCAAATGCAGTAAAATATCATCCAAATGTAGAAGTTACTACCGAGCTCACCTGTTCTTACTGCTCTCTTTTGGTGGAAGTGGAGGTGGAGGTCGAGAGGATAAAACCTCCCCCCTCTCCTGCTGAGAATACACCCCCATCAGGTCTCTCTCTGCCTGGGGAGGAGCCACCGGTCTGAAGCCCCTCCTGGAGAACATGGGACTGGGCGGAGCTACGGTAAAAGTCCGGTCCTGATGCGGCATTTGATTGGATGGAGCGTGGGAGAAGGCGTGATCCTGCGTTTGTGCTGGATTCTGATTGGATGGAGCGTGGGAGAAGGCGTGCTCCTGCGTTTGTGCTGGATTCTGATTGGATGGAGCGTGGGAGAATGAGCGCTCCTGCGTTTGTGCTGGATTCTGATTGGATGGAGCGTGGGAGAATGAGCGCTCCTGCGTTTGTGCTGGATTCTGATTGGATGAGAGTGCCTGGGTTTGGCTGCAGTTGCATCTCGGGCAGTTTTCGGACACTTCCTGCCTCTGTGGAGGAAGACTGAAGGACCTCTGTCTGGA